TGTCGTGGCCAGGAATTGAACCGAGGTACAAAGGTTGAAGTGCAGTGTACAAACCACTACAATACACCAGTTCGGGACCATCCATTTAGTACGTACGCAAAAATTTGTCAACTTGACTCCTCCCCCCCTCCCTGTACACACGTGTACTTTTTACACCCCCCCCCCACCCCCGAATCCTATAGAACGGCCGATATTTAATCCACGCAGAAATGATCAAGGATTAATAATATTAACGTGTTTAAGCAAACAGATAGTCCACCGCCGGACTATCTAACTCATTTGAAGGCCAATGTAGACAAATTATTATCGAGGCTTCACCGCCCCCCCCCCCCCCGTTTCCTGTGCGTACATTGTCAGTAGACCCCCCATACGCAGGCGTACACATTTGCGTTAACCACCCCCCTTCCCCCTCCATGCGTACGTACTGAATGGATGGCCCCTTACTCTCCAAACAATCGTGTTAAGTGCTCCCCTTAATAGGTGCTTGCTAACATCACTTTGTGTGTCTCGCGTAATAACTTTTAGATTTCGCTTCATTTTAATGTCATCAGAGTCGCACATGCCAGGGTGGCAAATACTGGTCAGCTGCTTGCAAGGCATCGTGGGGCAGAAAAGCTCTACAGTACATCGTAAGCTCAGCTGAAGGACCCAACCACAAGTTGTAGGTACAGCGTCATAAAATATCCAGCAGCTTAAGCAAAACGTTCAGAAATTTACACATTATTGTCTTTCATTTGAATTGCCAATGAAAATGCACTTCTGGACTGTTTCACGATTCGTTTTTGTTGATAAAAGGGACTTCCAGGAAGATCTCCTCTTGGAATGTCTTTTCCAGTTCCTTTTTAAGTCGCCTTTCGCTCGGGAGGAAACTGGAGTTACCCGGCTGAAAACCAAGGCACACAAATGGATACCATGTACAGATTCACAAACCGAATTTCTGTTGTGCCATATTCCTGGCTGCCTTTTGCAGCCTGGCGGGCTTTGGGCAGTTTTACAAATCGACGTGAATTACTAAATATGCCACCGCACCCCGTGTGTGTGCACAATGCATTGAGATACTTTATGCAGAACCATTCTTTGTTGCGCAAGTATTTTTGGTTCATTTCCAATGTTGTGGATTATATTGGCTGGAGAGAGAGAGAGGGTGTGTTGCAGTGTTTTGAGAAAATTAATCTGCCTGGGCATGTTACACACGAGAATCTTCACTGCTTATCGGTGTAATCTCCTCTGGGTTTAACTCCCTTCATGCCGTGGGCAGATGACTTTTCCAGTTTACCCATTTAACACGTTTAATCTTTTTGGAAGGAGTGAAGTGATTTACTTGTCGCTCGTCATTGAGAAAAGTTTTAACGATTGTGAGATCCGTGCCTAATGGCCACCCGGCTCGTGATAGCAACGGCTGCCTACGGGAACAATCGGAAACATTGCTGCGTACGAACATGGAATGCGCAACCCATGCAACTCAAACCAATGGGCTGGTGATGTGTGCTGCCCAAACCATCGCTCTTAACAAGTCCAACGACCAGCTTTTGTTGACGTCTTTCGATACTTTACCCAGGAAAGCTGCTTTCTGATGTTTTTCCCTGGTGATTAATGTCAGCAACCATTTGATTGTAAGGTGACTTGCATTTTCATTGGAGGTCGCTTTATGATATATTTTAGTCACCCGTCTGCCAAGCTCTCTTGGGTAAAGATTGATGTTGTTCATTGGTCTCGTCATTTTTATAGTGATTTATAAAATGTCTAAACGTACTTTCTTAAACGGATACATTTTCTTCTGTTTTTAGTCTTATTTTAATTCCGTGGAATTGATTGAATGCTCCCGTTTGAAATGAAGAAATAGTAAAAATGTTTAGTAGCGTATGGATTGTGAGCAGTGCCATATGATCAGATCTTCATGTGTTCCTGGTTGCCAAATGTGTTTTTATGCCTTCAATTATCGTTTGGTGGAGATTATACCATTTATGTTTCATCCAACATTTACACTTAAATTGAAGATTACTTTTTGTGATACCGCTCCGTTCGATTGCATTCAACGTGACCTGTTTTTGTCATCCGTGGAAACATCTGTAATTTGCTCACAAGCCTTCCACGATTTCTTCTACGTGTATTCACATTATGTTTAACAGCTAATTAGTAGAGTAGTAGTGCACTTTATTAAGAGAATTGCAATATTCATGAAGATTCAATAACTCACGAAAAATTACTCTGCGACTCACAAACGACCGTCCAGGTCTGCGAAGTGTGTTCATAAAGGGATCGACCATTCCGCAAATGGATAATTACACAGCAGCTTTTGAGGTAGGTTGATAGACCTACACACGCTTAGGACACATCAAGATTTTTATCGCAACGAGTGTCATCCTCTCTGAACCTACGTGTGTCCACCATGGCAATCGCGACGCACATCGTTACATCTGGGAGGCCCAGCCGCTTGGCTAACGCCTCGCAATTCTTGCGAATGCTCCTCTGTGCTTCTTTTGAAAATCGAACGCCGTTTGTATTTGGCATAAACTTTAGATTTTCATGTAATTCGGACATTGGACCGTATAGAGTTCAAACTGGGATGTCTGTGTGGGCACCTTGTGGGTTCATATTTCAATTGGTATCAAACCCAACATTTAAAAACATTCTACTAGGAATGGAAGTTTTACAGGGAACAGCATTTGTAGTGTTTTTTTCCATGGCACTTGAGCAATGCAGTGTGTAAAAACGAAAAACCCCAATAGCACTGGGACCTTACCACTCCAAGACTTGCGTTTTCTTGGGATTTCTTTGCACTCAAAAAACACGTGGCATTTAGTAACAGACGACTTCAATGCACTTTTTGTTGTAACACTCAAACCACGTCAAAAGTCTCTAACCTGTTTCCGAATTGTGCACCAAAACGAAGCATTTCCTTGCCTACTATTTGCCTTAACGCAACAAAGATCAGGTTGAAACTTTACGTGTTGTATTTTGACAAAATACTTATCAGTTAATCGGCAAGCTGTGGTGTTCTGGAAGATGGTCAATTTTCTTGGTGCGCTTTAATTGCTTTTGACGTTTTTTTAGATTCTGCGTAGTTGGACGCAACAAGTTGTACTCCATTAACTTTAACGTTTAACTGCTGATCGTGACTAGTTTCTGCTGTTGTACACGTGTTACACGTATATGTGTGGTTTTAATAAAGGGCCCAATTGTTGCAAAGTATATTTCATTTACATTTGTGTCGTCTTTCCCCCCTCCAAACTTTATCCCAAATGTGGTCAATGGTGGCATCACGTCACGTGACGAAGGCAGCCATTCGGATTTCTCGGGAAGGAGCGGGCCCCCAACCCCCTTTGCTGTTCGTGAACGGGGCAGCGGACATCAGAGCTTCCACCGAGATCGCTTTTAAGCGACCTCTGGTCAACATTGAGGGCAGTACTCATTCGCCCTGCCACCAAGAGTAATAATGTTCATCGCATGACATTGATTTAACATTTTAATAATTTGAAACTTTGCCGAATTGTATGGTCGTTGATGACCGGACGGAGGCCAAATCATAATTGAGAACCCAGTTTAATCACAGGTTGGCTACCTGGATTCAAATTCAGGATATCTTAAAATAAAACTAAACTATTTTACCAAATGAGGCCCACACAGCTCTTTCTCAGAAGAGACCGGACCACATTTAATTATAGCTCAACAAAGTGGCTATGTAGAAATTTATAGCAGCTAAATACTCAAAGTTTGTTTCACAATCCGCTTGTCCTGGTGAGGGTAGCGGGGGGCAGGATGCTGCGTAGGAGGGTCTCAGACCTTTTCCCTGGGACGGACTCTAGCTGTTCTGGAGGAATTGCCAGGTGTTCCCAGGCCAGCCGAGTGACAGTTTCACCAGCGTGTACTGGGTCGGCCCTGGGGTCATCGCTTCAATGTTTCGAAATGTGGAGGGAAAAACCAAAGGACCTGGAGAAAAAATCCATTGCAACCACAGGAAGAAAATACAAACTCCAAATATACAGCAGGCACCAGGGTTGGGATTAAACCTATGACCTGTATACCAGGCGAGGTAGTTAACATCTCGCCACTATGGCACCCCATCTGAAGTTAGCAAGTTTTACTCTGGGGCCAAATAGTGGTTATGGTGCCCTGCAATCTAGAACTTTGGGAGGCAAGATCGTGAAGGAATTAGAAAAAAAATCCTAAATCTGTTGGGTGGTCCCTCGGTTTACCGTATTTGGATTCACAATCCGCCTCCCATAGGGTTCCCCCATTGTTCCTGATACATTTTCGATGTTTATGATATCACGCGGACACACCAATTCTGGCCAATCGGAGTGCTCCTTAAGCAGACTTGGCAGCAAACCTGAGCCAATCATCAACGCCATTTTATGAGCGTTTTGAGAGCAACTGGCTGACAGCTTTTCAGTGTTTGATGGTGCGTTGCTTATGAAAACGATGCCCTTGAAGACTTTTTTTTTTACTTAAAACATAAGATCACTAACAATGGCCCCTAAAATGAATGTGAAGACAAGTGATGAAAACTATTTTCTCCCAACCCAACTTCTCCATCAACCCCTTAAGGCATTGTCTTAGCCTAAGCAATGCAATGCTCTACTTATGCACCTTTGTATGCTCTTCTCATTATTTACCCATGTTTCTATTATGAATACTTTAATGTTCATATGTTAATTTATAATTGCGTGTTTAAATATTATAAACTATGTTTTTAGGGTGGAAAAAAGTCAACTTCCGATCGTCTTGGAACAAATAAAGCCCTTGCACATCTATTTCCTATATTCGATTAACGATCGTCTAAGTTAACGATGGTTTTCGGCGAACTAATTAATATCGTTCGCCGAGAGACCACTGTACAGCAAATGAGTTCGGGGTCCCATCTGTGCGGCGTCATCCCCTCTCGTTCGTGGATTTTCATCAGGATCAGGTTTCCTCCCACGTGAACATAAACTCAGTATAAATGGTCAAACGCCTCCATGCAGGATCCCACCTGAAAAAAGGCATCTTGAGACTCGGTCTGTCTTGCGCAAAGAAGCCACTTTTATTTTAGACAACATTCATACTGCATAGCAACTTCACAGTACCCGTCACTGAGAGGTTGAAAAGCCTATGCAGCCTTCACCTCGGCAAATCAGACAACTTTCACATTCCACTACTCCCAGAACAACACCACCACACGCGTACACACACACGTTCAACGATAGTTAAAATATATCCTCTTGGAAATTATCAACGGGTCTCATTTCGTGCTGCTAAGCACGAGACGAAGCTGCCACCCATTCCAGTGACAGCCACTTGCCGGGTGGGTGCCACGGTGGCGAGATATTTACTACCCCACCGAATATACAGGATGTCGTGAGTTCGACCCTGACCCCGGACGCCTGCTATATATTTGGAGTTTGTGTGTTGTCCCTGTGTATTTTTATCCGGGTCGTCCGGTTTCCACCCTCCACATTTGTGGAAACATGCGTTTGCAGTATTTGGCTGCTCTAGATTTCCACGTGATAAGCCACTCGGCCGGGCTGTCATTTGTGGTCAAGTCACTCGTGAAAAAGAGCTCCTATATAGCTCAGCAGGCCGAGCCTGGTAAAATAAGAGATGTGTTTAGTTTCTCTTTCCCCCTCCTGACTTACTCCATTCTAATCATCTAACCACCTTCCACCTGCTGCCCTGTGCTCTACCCCTACACAATGTGTGCTCCGTTTCCACGACCAATGTGCAACATACCCAAAGCCATGCCGGGCTGTTTCTGCAACAGTCATAGAGTATTGTCCAATGCTTCCATAGCCGGGCAGCGCTCTGTTACCCGGTGCATCCTCTCTGCCTCTTCCTTGCCTCCTTTCTCTCTGTGGCCAGAGGGATACTATTATAACATTGCTTTACAGTTTCATGCACGCTTGCTTTAGAGTACAATGTTCCAAACCAAAAGTATTTTTGTTGTAATTTTCTATTATTTTGTATATAAAATATTGCTATTTGGGAAAAGTCCCCTGAAAAAAAAAGTTAAGTTTTCTTCACGGCTTCTCCCTCTCACGGCACGATGGCAACGACACAGTCTGGAGACTGAACTGGGAAGCCGAGTAAAGCTTTACTTTTTAAAATGAGAGCCAAACGGTGTGGTAGGGGGACTGACTTCGCCTCGGCAAGACTGCCATGGGAATGTGGGCCTAGCAACTTTTCCGGGCCAGCTTCACATCTCAACAGTTGTGGTAATGCGACATCTGCACTCCACTCACTCAACAACCCTCCAACCCCAATGCACCAATCACCCCTCCCCAGCAATTCACCTTCCTACCCTGTTGCAAAATGTATAGCTTAGTGCCAAGTTAAAATTGAGGGGGAGAAAAAAGAAGTAAGCTATAATAATGTTTAGTTTTTCAGTCACCGAGACAATGAAATGCTACAATTTCCAGCCCTGGAACTCGGCGAGTTTATCGGAAACTTTCGGGTTTCTCTATTTTACATATGAGGTAATGAGTGTTGTGCGAGTGACTTGGGGCAAATGGGCTTAAAAGTATGCTTACGATTGATGACGGGCACTTTGGGCTCTTTACAGAATACATTTCAGCTCTTATTTCCCCAACTTAAAAATCAGACCAATGGAAAGTTGCGCTTCAGCAACTAGCACAACACGTGGTCAATTTTCTTTTGTGTCGTTGGCAAGGGTCAATCCGGCCAGGTGGCGCTGTGGTCAGAGCATCTGCCCCAACCAGAAGAACATCCATTCGAACCCCAATGAGGTCGACTTGGCACACCATCCCCAAAAGGTGGAAAAAAACAAGTATCTCGATGTGGCAAAGTCCACAGCAGTTGTCCTATGGAGGGACGGGTCCCCACAATGACAATGCTGAATTTCCTCCATCGGGTCAGGGTCACCAAGCCCCCAATGCTTGCTCGCTTGCTCGCTTAGGGAGACACTTTTTAACTTAACATTGTGGATTCGGGACAATCTAAGAATTGTTACGTCACTGCATCGATTGCCAGTCCCAAACCCCTTTCTCATCACCCCCTTCGCTTCTTCCATTTCACCCCGGTCGCTCTGCCCACCACCCGCTGCCGATGGGCTCCACAAACAGAACCGCCGGCCCCCGTCGGCCGTCCTTTCACTTCTTCCCGCGCTTGTTCCCCGGTGGTGGCTTCTTGAGCTGCAGCGGCTGGGAGACGTTGGCCAGACCCAGGCCAGGCGTGGACGAGACGCCGAAGGTGAGCCCAGCTGACGGGTTGAGTCCCGGGTTGCTGAAGCTGAACCCGGAGGTGGAACTCCCTCCTGCTGTGCCAGCAAAGCCTGCCGCCACAAGGGTGGGGGGGATTCCATTACACGTGCCGCGTGAGGTCCGAGACTGTGGTCCACACCTTTCAGGAGATCCCACCAAAGTATCGCTGGCCACACTTACAATATTCTTTGCATATAACTGCGTGCACTTGCGCTATGGTGTAGCTGCGGTGAGCAACACTTGACTTGCGATGCGATCTACTTGTTGCCCCCCGCAGTTGAAACAAAGGTGCACGTGTATTAAACCCTCCCTCCTCGCCTCTGTCCACACAGCGGTATAAATGGCTTCACAACGCTTAGTCGAATGGCAGGCTGTACAAATAACCCGGGAAAAGTAGCGCACTTCCGCAGTTCCGTCTAGCGGCCATAAGTTTCACCGACAGCCTAATCAGACAAGGAGGTAATTTTGTAAGAGATACCTGCAGTAACTATTAAAGATTTTCAAAACAAGAGATCAGGGTGCAGAAATGTGGTGCCAGAAAGCACAAGATTGTATAACACAGGGATACATTGTGTTGTTTTATTAATGCTGTCCGTATTGTCTATGGAAAATGGTTTAATGTGCTGCTGTATGTCGCGCAGAGAATGAAAGTGGACACCGAGTTGATAGGGTCCTACTTACTGCATCTGGGACAGATGCCCAAGGACACCAGAAATGTGCCTGCAATGCTCCTTTTTGTGTAGAACCTGTGCATGCGGCAGCAGGTGCCAGGGATAATGTTGTTCAAGTGCTGGATGATGCGCCTGACACATTTTCACGTGAGGAAATGTTACATTTTAAGTCAGTGCAGTGAAATGCCTAATCTGAAAATAAAGTGCTATCCGATGGCGGTGAAACGACCGAGAGCTCGTACGTTTGTAGCTTGTTGCAGAGGCTTGCGGTTCAAACCCTGCAGCTGCCCTGGTTAAAACCCTGCAGGTGCCCTGGTTAATACCGTTGGTGTATTAACCCTTTCCCAGTCCGATGACGTACATGTACGTCATCAGAAGCACTTAACTAAAATAACTATCGGTACTGATGCTCCCACACGGCCATGCCGGAGGGCGCGTGGCAGTTTTGGCGGCAGCTATCATCGAGTGTGTCGTGTCAATATGTTTCTCTGCCGCGAGTACAATGTCTTTAAAAACAGCGCAGCTACGATGCCTCTCTAAATGAAACTAACGCCAACCGTGTGCGCGTTCCAAGATTCAGCGGTGAATAGGACAACCACCACCTTGCAACTTGCAGAGGTTTCAGGAAGGGGTTTACCAAAAAATGTGGTTTTCTTGACAGTGAACGTTAAATATCCCGTCATGTTGAATGAAAATAAGTAGGCCAAGCGAGTGCTGGTGTCAAGGTGCAAATTTGAATAATCTTGAAATACCTCAAACGGAAAAAGCACGTACCAGCATGGCCCCCTACTGGCACAGTGATATCCACTTGCAGGACGGTGCTGCGTTCACCTTGTGCCGCATAGGGGCAGCTGTCACCAGGGGTCCCCAGGGATAAACCATAGTCGGGCATTCAAATGATTGCGATGAGATGAAATGTAAGGAGCTTGAGTTGCTGAGGAATTTAAGTGGCCTTTAAATGCAAATCCTTATCTGGCAACAATTTTGTTGTGTACAGATCATGCTATGACAAAAACTGACCACATTCATTATATTATTTAAATGCAAATTATTTAGGTTATTATAATGACATCATTTATTTATCCAGAAAAGCCTCAGATCTTCTTTTGAAGATGGTCCTGCATTGGAACGTTTGGCCAATTGCCTTCTTAGGGAGTGTTTGCGTGTGAGAAGAAACTGGAGTAACCGGAGAAAACCCAGACAGAAGAGGGGATGTAAAGGAAGGTCTACACAGATGGGTTATCTAATCTACTTGCTGTGCTACCAACTCCTGGCGAAATTGCAACCTATGGATTTAGGAGTTCCAAATCTGTAATTCGGTGTCCAATTATTCAACCGCCAACGAACCAATAATCTCCCGTGATATGAGGTTGCAATTAATATCAAGAACATCATTTTTTATTTTACTGTCCTAATTGTGCCGTTTCCAGAATTTTGTCTCCTTTAGAAAGTTTTGTTCGCTCCTCTAGCCCGAGTGTAACATTCAAAATGCATTTCATTTTTATACATCATAAATATCCGTTTCAGACACGTGATGTGTGCATCACGAGCACAGGAATCGATTTTAATTTGACGATTCGATGCATAGTTATTTGCCTATCTGTGATCCACCGAAACAACGCTGCTTTCAAAGCACTGGATAACAAGTGTGCGTCCACCACTTACGCCCAGCGTAAAAATATAATCTCCCGTGTCCTGTGAACGAGGCTAGCGCGCTGCCATGGTGGAGTCTCGCAAGCCACATGGAATCCCAATACTGGTTTGGTCACAATAAGCAGGCATCTGGACCAGGTGTAGTAGGCCAGGATTATTTTATATATATTTTTTATCTCCAAACTAGGGGAAAAAAGTGTGGGTCTTTTGAGTTGCGATTCGTGTTGCGGCAGGCGCGGCACTAAGCAACACCTAAGGATTTGCGGTGAATTGCTGCGGGCCAAATAATCCACCGAGCACAGCAAGCCGGTGGTGTAGCGTTGTCGGTATTTAAGTAGAGAACGATTCATCAATTATTACGTGCATGATACGTGCACAGAACGGCACGAGAATCAATTATGTACAATTTATGCCAATAACATTCTATTGTTATCATCCAAATAATGAAACAAAATTGACTATACTTTTGAGAGTGTCTCATTGAGACCAATCAGCCTAAATTTAACATTTAACTACAACTTGCACATAATTAAATAGTTGGTTCTTACACGCATGAATTTATGTATCGTGAGCATAATAATCCATTTTAAAAATGAATCATTACACGCTCGGTAATGATTGCACGTCAGCAGGGGCATCTCTTTCCCAATGATGGAGACTGCAAGGCCTTAGAAGTTCAGCAGGTCAGAGGCCCTAATGAGCTCACTGGGCAAGTCAAGTTTTTGTTTGATCAGGCGAGAACTCACGTGAGACCAGGGGAAGTCTCATTCGCGAAAGGGGCCTGGGTAAAGCCACCAATCAACCTATTTGCGGGGGACATCGCTCGTTACCTCCAATCCATGCTCGTGCGGTCTAGAACTGATTAGAGGGTGCCGGCTCAGTCCTCTGACCGCCCCACTGAGCCCGCCATCTATAAGCATCTTGAAACACCAATTTTATGCTTGTTTTTATGCTGTTCGTGTTTAAAAAAAAAATCCATATCTGCTTCATATCACGACACGAAAAAATCCATTCGGGGAGAGCAGTGCAATCATTTGTGTTTAGGGAATGGCACACAGATGCTCCAAAGTGACCTCTGTGCCGCACAGAAGGGGACAATTAATTCCCCACAATGCTCTGCCAGAGCTGGAAATTTAGCCAAATTTAAGTGCACAACCAAATTTAATGAGATGAAATTTTGTGCAGACATTGGTGTGTCCTGCCTAAGACCATCCAACTCACTACTACACTGCAGAACCTGGTGTAATCACAGGCAGCTGCCTGAATGAGAAACCAAGATCTCAGTGTGTTGCCAGCTCACTGCTCTTGACCTCTGTGCCAACCCAGCCTCCTCCAATTTAAACTTGTTAGAAATCCAGATTGTGCTGTATTACAGAAAGTGATGCCGCTTTTTCCACTGGCTCACCCATGCTGAACTAGCGCAAGGCTCTCACAGTATGGGTGGTTTTCCAATGGTCGTTTGCCGCAAAAAGTCAGAACCTCACCGCCGATACGCTGACCTCACAAGACGTCTGTCTGCATCTGGCTCGGAGGCCAAGCAGGGTCAGGGATGGGGCTAACGACGCATTCGTTGCGTGTACCGTCAATCGGCATTCAACTCGAACACGGCTTCAACCGCGTCGCTGACATGCGTCTCAATTCGGTCACAGCGTGGCAACGTTAATGGCATGGCTCGGCGCTTACTGCATTAGAAAATCGACCTGGCTCGGCGTGGCCCGTGCAGTAGAAAAAAGGTAATAAATGTCTAGAGGGTGGCATTCACTATGCTTCCGAAGCACCCAGAATCTCAACGGTCGCTGTACACGAAGAACAAACAACGAAAATGTTTGCCTGCGCTCAGACTGCCGGACGGCTTGTTGGCAGCGCCAAAGCTGAAGCCCGAGTTGAAGGAGGAGCCGGAGGCGAAACCCGAGCCCCCTCCAAACGTAGAGCCTGCCCACCCCACACACGGAGCACAGCAAGCACAGCGATGGCGTGAGACAGAAGGCGCTCTCTCTATGTGTGTGTGCGCGAGTGAGCGCGTGCACGCGTGGGGGCGACCCAGCACCATGCGCCACACGCAGGCTCAGTCTACAAAGGCTAGGCCGTAATGGAATAAAATATTATAGTCCAGAATCTTACAAAAAGTTTGTATTGTGGCCCATGGCAGATACACCCTTCCTCAAACACGCTTGCTCTCGCAGTTGTTTTTCATTATTGTATTCCCAACTTGTAATGATGCTTGTAAAGATTTATAATTAACTACTTTAATGCGCATTTTTCAAACGAGATTTTTTTTTGCTGTTTTGTTTGCACACTTTAATTTGCTGCCGTTTTGCCGACTATGAAGCCTGTATTTTTGGAATTTGCATTTTCTCCCCGTGGTCATGTGGATTTTTTCTCCGGGTCCTCGGAATTTCCCCTCCACATTTAGAAACATGCATTGAGATTATTTACATTATTTTTGTGCAATGTCCAAATCATGGGCCACTTTGTTGAGCTATCTCAATTGTGGCCAGGTTTCTTCTGAAAAATAAGTTAATAACTCAGTGGGCTTTGCCTGATAGGATGGGGATGCATATTCTTTGGGTCTTTCGGTAAAGTCACGTGACTTTACCGAAAGACCCAAAGAATATGAATTCCTGCAGTCACGAAAGCTTTAAGTCAGGATGGGGATGGTTTATTTGTATGTGTTTGGGTGATTTGTTCACCTTTCTTGTACTTGGCACTATCGTGTGAACATGCACATGCACCACAAGTATATGTGTTAATGCAGAATGATTCCTTGCAAAGGTTTCAGATTGGTGTTTAAACATCTTAACACCTGTTTTATTGCCAGAAAGGGGAAAACCCTATTATAATATAATACTGGCAAAGGAGGTCTCATGATGCACACATTTTCTCATTTAATATAGGTACATTTCAAAATATCACTGTCCTGGTCACAAAAGCAAAGTTTGTGGGGAATAATAGCCATTTTCTGTACCTGAGGCATAAGCAATTCGGAAATAACACTTACTACCCAGGAACAAAAAATGAATACATTTGTTACACAGTGTTATTAATGGAGTGGATTAATAACTTTGCTTTTGTGTCGTAACAAAAGCAAAGTTTGTGGGGAATAATAGCCATTTCTGTACTTTTGAGGTATATGCAAATTGAAAATAGCACTTACTACCCAGGAACAAAAAACATATTTTTTGTTACACAGTGTTATACTGTAAACTACTTTCACGAATCAGCCCCCAAATGTCGTCTCCCATCATGTTCTCGTTATACTGTCCTTGGTAGCGGCATTCAAAGTCCAGTATTATCCTGGTGGAAGCGCTCGCCTTGCTCCACCGAAGACGCTCCCATGTTCTCCTTGAATGTATCAAGATGAGCATCAAGGATATGGACTTTGAGGGACATCATACAGCCCATTGTGCCATAATTCTTCACCAGAGTCTCAACCACCTCCACATAGTTTTCGACCTTGTGATTGCTCAGGAAGCCACGAACCACTGCGACAAAGCGGTTCCAAGCCGCTTTCTCTCGACTAGTGAGCTTCTTGGGGAATTCATTGCACTCCAGGATCTTCTTCATCTGTGTTCCGACGAAGACACCGGCTTTGACCTTTGCCTCAGACAGCTTAGGGAAGAAATGTTGAAGGTACTTGAAGGCTGCCGACTCCTTATCTACGGCTCTGACAAACTGTTTCATAAGGCCCAATTTGATGTACATCAAATTATAATAGGCAACATTTAGGGCAACGGCCCCAGATATCTATATGATAGGCAACTGTTCAGGCAATAGTTCTTCTAGGGTTGTTGCCCAAAAACGTTGTCTAGATTTTTTTTCTTCCTATTTCAGGCAGTGCTCTTGACAAAATGTGTTGAGTTTAGCGTCGTTTTGTGCTTTGTGCACCATGGCTCACGCAGTATCACCAAAAAATCGTAAAATGTTCTGCTCGCAGATCTCACCTCACAGCTAAAGCATCCGGTCTCAGTACTGGTGTCCCTTCAAAGGTCCTAGCTAACAAGCCCATATTATCCTCATATCCCAAGCATGTCAAATACAATCACCTATTTCATTTATTGGGTTTCCTACTGTTCCTATCCATTCCAATTATGCATGCAAAATGCTCTAAAAAGTAAAAGAAAATTGAATGCACTCGTGTGAGTTTTAATATTCTTTATTTTATAAATAAATTGTAATAGTGCAAAAGAATTGCCGTCCTTGTGATGTAAATTTGGGGAGGGCACATTGTGAGAAGGGACGGCCAAGAAAACCAAAAATAGGGACGGGAGTGGCAGTCCAAGGAACGTCTGCCGAGGAAATTGAAGCAATGAAATCAGCTCGTCGCGAAGGTTCCAGAGTGGATAAATAAACGTCAACGGGGCCGCGAATGTAACTCGAACACTTGAAAGGCTCATAGACCAGAGCATCAGGCGATGGGCACCTTAGACGAGTACGACCCAAAGGGCAGAGTGAGCATTTGGGTACCTCCCAGGGATGAGGCGAGGCCCCCTGAGAGGCCAGTACCGAGCGAGGGAGCTATGCCCAGACCTAGCGAGCCCTGGGACCCTGTGGCAGAAACGGCAGAAACACACCAGCAATCTCATTAACCTTCACACCTTCATATTCTTGGGCCTTTATCTCTCAAACAGTGTCAACCATTTCCCCGTTCCAATGATGTACGTGTGTGAATCATCATCAAAACGACACCGGAGGAAAAACTGAAATAAAAGTATTTTTTCGGTATGGAGGCTCCCACAAGACTATGCGGGAGGGTGTGTGGCACAGTTTAAAGCCACCTATCAGAGTGCGGTCGTGTTGCAACGGTTCTCTGCGGTGAGTGCAATGTCTTTAAAAACAACGGCGCTGCTACTACGCCTCTCGAAATAAAATTAACGCAGAGCCGCTCGCGCGTTCTGAGATTCAGCGGGTGAACGGGACACCCAACCTGCAACTTCCAGACATCTGCCAACGGGGAAAGGGTTAAGGCACAGCCCTTTGGTCAAATCCACCACCAAATGAGAGTCTGCCCATGCTATGCGTGTTATTTGACCATAGTTTAACACGGAGGCTTTCACGACCAATGTTATCCGACACCTGATGAAACTGGTTGTAATTACCAGTGAAATGTCGTGCTCCAATTATAAATGTTGTGGATGTACTCTCCAACACACCGGTGTGCTGAACTTGTAACGAAACACCTCCATTATGGATATTTGACAATACTTTACGATTCTCGTCAGTGTGGCCTAAAGGTTGGGAACATTTGTCACATCTGCGAATTGTATGCACAGCTAACAATGTAGCCCCACAGTAGTATACAACACCTGTATTGTTTTAACATGTAGCCTTTCCCACCAATATTATCCACAAGAGGTTTTTTTTGGGTGAGATCGCAGAGATATAAATGTCATTAAAACCGCTACCACCCAACAGCCAATTAGTGAGGTTTGTCACGTAATCAACACATGCCAATTAGTTATTAGCGCAGCACACCGTGTGTTGGAGAGTAATTCTAATTTACAATAACAATTCAACTAGTAACTAATTGGCATGTTTTGATTATGTGACAAACCTCACTAATTGGCTTTGTCGAGTGGTGGCAGGTTTAACGACATTTATATCTACGCAATCTCACCCAAAAAAACCTCGACCGGTGTTATTGATTGGCGGTCATCCATCCAGGCACTATCCAGCGACAGCGCTGCTTAACTTCTTTGTGAAACTCACTGCCGGCCACTGGCCTGGATTTGTCACTAACTGGTCGCCAGTTCGGCCGTAGGCTCAAGTAGGAAACGCTCTGTGGAGCTTACATGGCATCAACATAGCCCATTTCTGACTGCCTTCATGCTGTAAAAATTACACGAATAACAGTGCTCTACTAATCTCATACATGCATACATACATGATGACACACGCGTAATAAATACAAAGCAAATCGCATCGTAAAACGCTAGTGGAATGCAAACGTAGAAAAAAATCGCACTATAGAAACCTGCTGCTGCCGCCGCTGCTGCTGTCCCCAGGTGCTGGTGCTGCTGCTGCTGTTGCTGCTGCTGCGTGAGCGTGGCTGCCATGGCGACGGCGGCGGCGTTGGGGAGGCTGCCGAAGGGCGCGGGGCCCGTGGTGAGGCCCGGCCCAGGCACGGGGCCGTCGCGCACGCGCTTGCTGGCCATGCGGTGGGCCTCAAACACGTCCGTGTCGTCCCCGTGGTACGTTTTGCGGAAGCTCAGGTACTGCTCCTTTTGCCTCTGCATTCGCGAGATCGCGACAAGTCATTAGCACTGGGTAAAATGGAAGTGCTCGGTCCCTTTTAACACCATGGCAATAAAAGTAATTTTTTGGTTAGATCACGGAGAATATGAATGCGTCGTTAACCCATCGCCACCCGACATGGCCAATCAGTAAGGTTTGTGACGTACACACAGCGTACCAATCAGTTACTACTTTAGCACATCGCCTCCATAGCCATGATCAATCCGCTGCTGAATGAAGAACTCGACATCCCCCAAGACTTTTCCGCCTCCCCAGCGTCTTGCGAGATACCACCTGAACGTCTCCACCTCCGTGGTTGACGACCTCTTGGGTGAGTTCCCGGTTACCGCACGTGGCCACCGCTCCAACAAGGTCGAGAAGAACGACCGGGTAGCAGCCAAGGGACGGAATACGCCCGAAAGGATATCCACCGTGGAGATGGAGCGATTAAATGAGCTCGTGCGCAGGTGCCAATTGGATTGTTAGATCGCTCGACGATGAATGGCTTGGCGACGCTTTCATTCGGTTGCGGATTGGCTCAGAGCTGACGATACGTTTTGAGAGCATGGAAAGAGATGAAGTTTGCTTTTGGCCAGACAGGGAGTTGAGAGGACATTGTGGTGGAAGTGCAAATGAAGACAGTTCATAGGGAGAGTCATGGGCAAAAGAGAAAAGGCTTCAGCTTGGATGTGAACAGGGGAAGATCTCAGCAGTGCGCAGTCAGAAGGCAGCAAACAACGATCGATTATATTCCTGGGCAAGAGACACTGGTCTCCACCACAGCAATCTTCTTCTTTTCTATGGCTGATGCAGACGCAGAGCAAGAACTAACATTTTACATTCAAGTGGTCAAGCCCAGATAACCGCGTCAGGAGCAGCAGAATGTATCGCTGTAATGTCTCCATATTTGTGGATCGGGCATTGCGTCGTCATACATTGTGCGGTCTGTTCTGGTTGACTAGTCACACATTGGAGAGTTTCATTTCCCATTTGTGTATTAGGTATCTGCACCTGGCATGGTTTATGCAGTGGATGCGGTTGAGAAAGGTTAACTACCTCGCCTGTCATACAGGTCGTGGGTTCGATCCCGACCCCGACGCCTGTATATTTGGAGTTTGCATGTTCTCCCCGTGATTGTGTGGATTTTTCTCCGGGTCCTCAGGTTTTTCCCTCCACATTTAGATACATGCGTTGAGAGTATTTGGCTGCTATAAATTTCCATCCAATAAGCCGCTTTGTTGGGCTATCGTTTGAGGTCAGGTCGCTTTTGAAAATGAGCTTTAAATAGCTCAGTGGGCCTTACTTGGTAAAATAAAAAATAGTTTAACCTGGAATGTCCACTACCGGCCGAGGACTGAAGCAGTGGAGCACTAAAATGTGGACACCGATGATGTCAACTATACCATTATAGGGTTAGGCGGTGGTGGCCTGGGTTTGGAGGCGGATGCGTCACCGCTCGTTCAGAGGCAGCGAAGATACGTTCTCACCTTGACAGTCTCGTGAACGGTCTGCAAGTGCGCGGCGAGCGCGATGAACGTCTCGTACAACCTCTGCATGGCCAGCGACAGGTCTGCAGGACGTACGATATACAGACAGGCTGGGTAAATGACGAGGCGTACGTTTGTCACGAACTTCGAGTCGGCTTCACTTCAATAATGCAAAGGCCCGCGACGTGTAAATACGGCACAAGAGCATTCTGCAGCACGGGCCTCGTATCTGTCGAGCATTCAGCGGGATGAGGGCGTTTGTCATCCTTGCATTTTTTTAAATAGAGACGATAACAAAAGTCTAGCAAATACAATCACCATTTCACCTTATTTGGGATAACATTTATGAAGCACAGGGTGCCAAAAAGGTATCATCCGATATTAAGGAATTAACGATATGGCAGATTGAAATAAAATTGTGGAACGTTCGATGTTTTGAGAAAGATTCAACGTATGCCAAAAAACATGAAAAGATTGAGTGATCTTCGACGGCACAGAACAAGATAATCTATTCCATGACTTTTCAAATTGATAAATTTATTCTGTAAACAATGACAAAAATGGATGCATTTACAATCGATTAACAACCCAAGATCAGACCCAGGCCCCTCGGCAGTGCTGGCTCGATGTCTCTACGTGGTCATATCCCTCCAAGTGATCCCTCGCCGGGCCTCCGGTACAGATGTATTTATGTTGAACTTCTTTCGCACCGTAAGTAGCCAGCCGTGCTAATCACAGGTGCAGGGGAAGGACAACAAACTAAGCACAAAAAAGTAGTTCTAAAGAAATTGAGTTTTTCAATCTCGATTATTTAAAAGTGCATAGATCCACTCGCCAACAGCCGCTGCGAGCAAAACCGTAGTTTGCATTCCGGTTTATGCTCCTTGACGAGGTCAGAAAAGTATTGTGGTTCATTTGTGCCAAGCAATTTGTGTAGTAATGAGTGCGACCTCATAACGTGTTCACTCGGCAATCGAGGCTAATGCAGCTCGGCGAACACTGGACGGACACGGTCGGATCTTGCCGTACCCGTCACGACACGTGCCAGAGAATTCTGCTGCAGCTCAGTAATGTTTTTTCCAGACATTGCTTAGAGTAGTGAGTTTCAATAATCGAGCCTCGTCGATATAAGACGCAATACGCACCTTGTGGTGTCATGTGCGCGCTGGTGGCCTGGGAGGTGATGTGGTTCTCCATTTCCTCGATCTGCCGCCTGTACAGCTGCATCTGCACCTCGAACTGCTCGGCCAAGCGGCGGAAATACCTGAGCGGCAAGACAGGGAGGAGACCCAACAATACCGCCACAGCCGGTTACTCAACCACAAGGTCATTCTCTTGTCATTTTTAATGCTAAACAAGCCAAGGTTTGGAGCGAAAATGCATTGCTCTGTCCGTCTGTAATATGATTGATCTAATGTGAAACAATATTTTATCTATATATAAAAGGGACATTTGTGAATACGTGTGTCTGTTCGAAATGTTCAGCGTACATCCCGACATGCAACAAATTTAAAATTTGGCATGTGGGTAGCTTCCAGACTGTACACAATGCAAAAAGTTTTTTGGAGGAGGGGGGCGCAATAATGGATATATTTTGCACGGCAAGTGAGCGGTGACGTCACATATGTGATATCACATATGTGATGTCACCTGCATGCGGCTGCGTCACGCAGTGTTCCTGCTGACGTCACGTATCCCCCCCCCCAAACCCTCCGCGTCGGCTGTGTATTATCCAAGACAAGAATCCAAGTCCCGGGCGAAGCCGGGTAGTAAAGCTAGTTTGGTATAAAGTTGTGTTGCTGTTAGAGAGTTACCCTATAGAAAACTGGCACACATTGATCACACGGTTTGTCAAAAACGTGGAAATAAAAACCAGCAAAGAAAAGGATTTTCCTCGCTGGTACTATCGTGTCTCCCAAGTTTTTTAGTCAGGTTTTTACATGGTCTCACATTGAATTTGCTAAAACAGCTGAGTGCTCCAAAAAAAAACCAGGATAGGCCCCATTTGCAAAAGTGGCCTGGGAAAGTCCCCAACTTTCACACCCAAGTTTCGTTCACAAGAGGATCCCGTTGACGGATATTGTGCCCCACCATCATTACGGACAGAGGGAACTAATGAATAAACGTGAATAAGCACTTGCAAAGCAAAACTGACGGACACCGATAATGAAGGGCATGGCTCACTCGGTGGGCGCCGTGTTCTCGTGCTGCAAGCCATCTGGCGTCTCTCGCGTGCGCACCGCTATCTCCACGTTCTTCAGCTCCTGCAGTGCGCACGCAAGTTAACGAACGCGTGTAAATCATCAGCACTGCCGGCAGGAAATATGTAGCTTTGAGAACAATGCACCAACTTGTATCGATTCTTACACTTACAATACAGTAAAAAAAAACTCGAAGTTATACTCATTTTATCTTTAGCCGTGATCAATCCACCGCTGGATGGAGAACACTGCAAGTCGCCGCCATCTCTCGCGGAGCAACAATCCATCTAGCACTTGTACATGAACTGATTTTAATCGCTCCATTTCCACAGTGGATGTTCTAATGGATTGATCACGGCTAAAGATCACGGGATGTTAACTACCTTGCCTGGTATACAGGAGGTCGTGGGTTTGATCCAGACTATGATGCTTGTATATCTGTTTTTTCCCATACACATTTAGAATCAACATGCGTGATAAGCCACTTAGTTGAGCTATCATTTCTGGCCAAGTTGCTTCTAAAAAGAGCTATATAGCTCAGTGGGCCTTACCTGGTAAAATAAAAGTGGAGTTTAGGTTGCCATTCCATCGTTAACCTCTACTACCGGCCATCATCCCTTCTCACGACACACCCTGCCCAAGTCTCCTTACTGTTGGCAGCACTCAATAGGTCTAACTTGAGTATGCTCAACTGAGTGAGCATAACCAATCACTGCCCCATCATCCATTCAGCCCTGCTCTACAGGTCAGGTCAAGGGCCCACCCATCCACCCTCCTTGCACGCACTATTTATAAAACTCAGGATTTTAATCTCTCCTAGCTCAAGGGGCTGGGAACATTGCTTCTTTCCTTACCTGGGCAGCCTCTGCTCTCAGCTTGTCGACCGCGAGCGTGCTGCGCTGGAGCCCAGCAGCCACAAGCGACAGCATCTGCCGCAGAGCCTTGGTCTCCTCCTGCACCCGCAGCATCACCTTGGAGGAGCTGCGGCCGATCTCCTCCTGCACCTGCCGCTGATCCTTAACGAACTTCCTGCGAGCCGGAGCAACGGGTGGAAGGTGGTACAGGGGGGACATTGGGAAAAGCTGAAGAAGTTGTTGTTCTTGCGGTGTAATGGTTGCTAGGTGGGCAGGATGGAAGGGTTTAACGTTTTCCAACCAAGGCATTAAGCCTGGTTGCGTTGCTGTTAAGGACTTCATCTATAGAAAACTGGCCAAATTTATTAATGAGTTGCCAAAATATTGGAGACACAAACTAGAGCAAAAAAATTTATATTTGCAAATATGAAAAAGCATTCTGCCAAAAACTACGCGCCGGTTTCTGCACAACGGATGAAAAACTTTCGAAGACAAACACACGTTGCAAAACCTTTCTCAAGCTATGCAGCAATTTTCCCAACTTGTTTTTAAGAGGCGCTGTCAGAAGGTGGCTCGTAGGGGTGGAATGTCGCATCATCGATTCATTGCTTAATATCGATTCGTGAGCTCGCAACACGTGCATCCATTCTCGTGCGTACGAACCGCTGTTTTTATTGAATTTGCATATGCCGTACGTTTGGAGTTCAGGTCACCCCTGTATCGATTAGACATGCGACCGTAGACTCGCTACACGAATTAATTCCATTTAATCGAAGATGGTTGAATCCCAGATATGAACCCAGGATCTCAGCAGTGCCAGCTTCGTCCTCTGACCGCTAAGCCACCTGGTCTCATATTAAACATTTTTATTTGTCCACACACCCATCTCCCCGAAATTAGTAGAAATCCCTGTCAAATGGTGATCGCCCGCTTGTAAACAAGACAAATAACGTACATTTAACATGAGGAGTAAAGCAAAACTCACTGGAAATTTTCAACGTCTTTGCAGATCTCAGGTGGCAGAACCTGGGACTTCAGTGTCTTGCTGTCCCTTAAACAAATAGAAGCAAAAACATCAAGTCAGTCACTTTGTTACCTGGGTGCTGATTCTCCCAGCCATCACCGTGAAGAAGATGCTATTGAGGGCAAACCCACGTGGTTAACAATCACATTCATCATCTGTAGATTCAATTTCTACGAGCGACTATAATTTGTGACATTACTCGTACTTGCACAAGTACGGCAAAACAAATCAAGTCGGTCACTGTCACCTGGGTGCTTTTTCTGCCAGCCATCACAGTGGAGAAGATGGTATTGAGAGAAAACCCACGTGGTTCAAAATCACTTTCATTATCCGTAGCTTCAATTTCTACCAGCGCCGATAATTTGTTACAGTGCTCGTACTTGCACAAGTACGGCACTTTTGTCCATCCACTGCCACGAGGGGCCTTCCCGCCAGCGCGTTTTGCTGCACTGCCCTCTGCTGCCCACGATGTAGCCCCACACAGGCTCTCTGCATGGCAGTCACCCATCCAAGCATGATCCACTCAGCCCATCTTAGCTTCTGAGGTCTGACACATTGCAGGTAATTTAGTCTATTACGCCCATGTTTAAATCGGCACATTTATTTGGACTGTCAAATCTCATGAAATAAATTGAAGGCTCCCTTAATGGCCTCGCTGGGCAGCTTGTCGTGGTATTCATTGCGCTTGAGAACTTGGCTTAAACGCAAGTGGCTGCCTGGACTAGAATCCAGGATCTCAAGAGTGGTTTTTGGCACAGTGCTTTGACACGGGCACCAAGCCAAAGGATGTTGGGGGTCAGAGATCGCCCCTCATGCATTTAATGCACTCACCCTGGGCCCCCGCCAGCAGACAGTCTGTCGTCTAGAGGACAAAAAGACAATTCACAGATTAGCTGGTTTGCTAATAGTTAAGCAATGTGTTTTGATACGTGAGGGGGAAGACATGGATGTTCACAATTACTTGGGGAAAGATCCGATAGCTGTAGTTGCTAGGAATGTAACACTTCATTCAAAAACATTCAACAAATGATGACCTCCCGAATCCTAAAAAATAGTGCATATTCTCAGCAGCTTCGGTTCATTGACAGGCAAACCGGTCCAAACCCTGGACCGGTTATTATTGTATGAACAAACCAATGCTGCTTGTTAATGGACAAATTCTCCTGAGATTCTACACTCCAGAAGGCCGTTTGGTTGACGAGATGTGTAAAAAAAAGATACCTAAAATTTTAAATGGAGAAACAGATATATGGAGATATATAGTCCACTTATTTACTTTGTTTAAAGCTTAGTTAGTCACTTAATAGCGGTTAGCTGCTCATATGATATGTGAACATTGTATCTGAATGTCCCCTCTCTTTGCTCTTAACAAGGGTCACTACCCAAATATTTAGCATACCAGACATTTTGTTTTAAAGCAGTTCTAATTATGAAGGTAGTGAGTGATGTATTTCAAAATCACACGCAGATATTAAGACACATGCGAAAAACATATAAATATGCAAAAAAGGTATAAACTAATAAATTTAATTTATTTATGCAGAACAACCTTTGCCAATGGCTTTACAAACAAGGAGCATGCTGCTTCATGCGGGAAGAAACCAGTGCGCTATGCACACGAGCGTTCAATCATATCAACCACGACTGAACAAAGTTCAGCAAAAAGAGCGATGCAAACTTTACCTTTTTTGTCAGAGGAGCTGGTGAAATCCACGCCTCCGAGCCCCTTGCTGACCGGCACGTTGGTGCCGGCGGCAACCATTCCACCAAGCGCAGTGCCCATACCCCCGAGTCCCGCGCCGATCCCACCAAGCCCCGAGCCGATTCCACCAAGTCCCGTCCCGGTCACACCTACCAGCCCGGAGCCCGCTCCTCCAAGGCCCGTGCCAATCCCACCAAGCCCCGTGGCTGTTCCTCCGAGCGCTGTGCCGACACCTCCAAGCCCCGTAGCCGTCCCTCCGAGCCCCGTAGCCGTCCCTCCGAGCCCCAAGCCCGTCCCTCCGAGCCCCATGGTTGCACCGCCGCCCCCGAGGCCGAGCATTCCCTGGCCAGCGGCTGTGCCTCCCAAGTTCAGGCCCGTGCCTTCAGTTAAAACACAAAGATCCCCCGTATAGCCTTAACATACTGTAGGACAAGTGCTGCTCGCGAGTACCTGTTAAGGCTAAAATGGCACATGGTGGTGTGGCCAGTACTTAAGTAACACAATTAAAACGTCTCCGGAGAGCGTGTCTCACCGAGTTGTGAACAATCCAATAATAATTACCACAGCGAGGTTAAAAGTGCAGCCCGGCAATTGCCCGTTTACGATACTGCAACAGAAGGGCCTCCACTAGAGGGAGCTCTTCAGCACCAAGTGCACGGCTGGCCTTACATCTTAGATGTGGGAGTAAACGTTTTATTTTATTTTACCAGTTAAGGCCCACTGAGCTACACAGCTCTTTTTCAGAAGTGACTTGATCACAAACGAAAGATCAACGAAGCGGCTTATCACGTGGGAATTTATAGTAGGCAAGCACTCTAAAACGCATGTTTCTAAATGTGGAGGGAAAAACCGGATACCCACACTTTACCCCATCACACACAACCTGCCAATCGTCTGTGGGCGTACACATCTGTCCCGCTGGATTTTGAAGAAACTTTCCCGTTGCCTCAACTACCGCGCCAGCAGAAAGAACTGGCGAGCTCCCCGGTATGGTAAACATTACACCACAGCAGCAACCTTAGAAGTACCACTGCAACCGAACCAACACTGACCAGTGTTTGCTGTGCTGGTCCCTGCAAACAGGGAGCCTCCCACCGCTGAAGAGAACATGTTTCCTCCGAGCCTCAGGCCACCAGCGGCCGCTGTGGTGGTGGCTGTGGTTCCTCCAAGGTTTAATGAGAGTCCTCCGCTAGCTCCCAGTAAGCCTTTGGATGGAAAAAAAAATCATACAATTGTACATTTACGCGCACCCTAACCACCGCACCGCCACGACGAAGTGTTGTGTGTGCAGTGACGGGTGCATACCAGCGATGTAAGGAAGCATCCTGAATTAATGTGGGTTCTTAAGCTCAACAGACATGCGTGTGGAAGAATCCATGTTTTTCTTCAATGCATGTCATCCATGATTTTACATAATCTCTTTGGCCAATAGAGGCCGCTACAAACACCACAATCTACGAAAGGTTTTTTTGGGTTAGACCGCGTAAATATGAATGTGTCGTTAGAACCGCCACTACCGACACAGCCAATTAGTAAGGTTTGCCAAGTAAACCAAACATGACAATTAGTTACTACTTCAGCACACCGGTTGTGTGTTAGAGTAAACCCACTACAACATTTACAATTCGAGTACCGTGACGTTTCGGCGGTAATTACAACCAGCCTCATCAGGTGACAGCCAAACACAAAAATGTAAAAAAAAAAACGTGACGACGAATTGTGACAATTCAACGAATCCGGAGACGAACAATGACTACCCTAAGTGCATACCGCGTCATCGTTACCTGTTGTGGGAGCGCTGGTGGTGGCAGTGAAGGTGCCCTGGGAAAGACCCCCCATGGAGCTATTGCTTGTCATCGGCATGGCAAACAAAGTGGCAGAACCTGCTGGCCTGCCCAGCCCTGCCAAATCAGACCAAAGCAACAGCAACGCATTCAGGTCAGCAAATGAACTTGGTGAAGGTCAAGACGTGACATGCCGTGTACATCATCAATTATTCAAGTCTTAATTTTAACAGGGTCCGAGGCCATTCAGATTAATTGCCTCTTTTCCAACGTAGGCTCTGCATAATTCAATTATTGGGGCCCTTGTGCTTTTCGCATCCACTGAATTTTGCACGGTGGACCCATTCGTAATTCGTTCTCGCCATTACTTGGCGATGCTAAATCACTTTAAATTTCCATCGGAGCCTTCTGGCTGTGCAGGCCCCCGCGTGGTACAGTGTAATAACGAAGTCCACGCCAGAGGCAGTGTTATAGATTGGGTATTACGTCTCATGCATACACTCATGGACATGTACTTTCAGACAAATGTGTATTTTAAGTAAAACGTCCCGTAATCATAATTATATTTTCAGTTATTCAGGAAAGCTTAAGTTTCAAGATCTTTTCAGACAGGCCTTGAATTGTTTAACCAGTTCATGAGTGAACATGGAATTGGAAATCACTTAAATTAACAATGTGTTCTACACAGCATATGTTGGAACCAAAATGAGATTCAGGTTTATAAGGCAAGTGTTCATGAACAACAGAAACATTGACACACATCAGGGGATTATAAAATCGTTAAATTGTTCGAAAAAAATAATCGGTCCCCACCATTTCAAATCAAACTGAAAAAAGTGCCTTGATATTTGTCAATTACAGCTTCTGTAGTTAAATACGTTATCTTCAAATGCTGTAATCAATTCCTCTTAAACGTTGTACGCAATTATACTCCAACTATGCTATTGGTGCCATGACACTGGACTAAGATATTTGCATTTGAAACTTACAGAACTACTGGTGCACCATCCTGTGTCAGAGAATAGTTCCAGAAGACAAAGTCACAGACATACTGTTTTAATCCACTTTAATATGGATTGTTATCCACACTAGGAGCATGCATTTGTATCGCCTGTAAAGAATGTTTGTCACATGTTAATCAGACCTAAATGTTCCATTCTCAGGAGCCAGAATAAATCATTAAGTGAAACACTACATTATTGTTTGGGTGCAGTCATCAATAACCATGCCGAGGCCATTATAATACTTATATTTTATAGTCTCATTCATGCTCATAGCATTCCATAATGCTGTACATTAATTTTCTATAAGGACCAAATCCCACATACAGCCACTGCAAAGCAAATGAAAACCCTACTTACCAAGCAAATTCAAAAAGAATAAACAAATTAACGTATGGCACCAAAACAAAGAGCACAAACAACAACAAAATTATCACGACAGTGAGAAAATACTTACTTTTTTAATGTTAATCTTTTTTTAGTAATTTCCTCTCACTTTGCTCCTGATTGTGCTATTGGTGTAATATCAAGAGATGAAGCATCTAAAGAGTTAGATGCTTCATCTCTTGATATTGTCCGAGCCCGGGCACCAATGACTACAACCAAACGCCCCATCGCATTAAATTTGGCTGTGTGCTTCATTTGTCTAAATTCCAGCTCTAAGAGCTAAACAAATAGATTTTACTTTCATGGAACTAACATTACTCTCAATGGCAGGGCAGGTGGAAAAGTGCCACCCCTAAATTAATCGATCTCAGAGGTAGCTCTGTGATATCCGCTTCCACGGCCCTGCCCTAACACGGGTGGGAGGGAGGGGATATTTTTTTAATGTTTTAATATAGTGTGTTGTATATGAGAATAGTGATAATAAATAACTCACCCAAGGTGCCCGTGGTGCCAAAGAGTGAGGCGGTGGGCGCAACAGAGGTAGTAGCAGCGCCTGTGGTGGCTGGCCCTCCGAAGTTGAAGCCTGCAGGAGCCGTCGTGGTGCCACCCCTGCGACAGCACAACAGAACGGTGAGAGGGGCCGAGTGTGTCATGATCCAATCCACGTCGTGATGTGGGGGTCACGATTCGGGGTCATGAAGAATTTACTTCTTTGCGTCAGCTGGGTGGCTCAGAGGTCAGAGCGTGGAGCCGGCACCCATTTGAAATGCCGGGTTCAAAGCCAGGTTTCAGACACCTGTGACTGAAGTGGTTGTTTCCGTCCGTTGACAAATTAAATGTGGGTAATAATTTACAGTCCTCTGTCAATTCACTGTTGGATGAAAGACTCCCCATGCTGTGTCAGTTATGGGGGTGTTGTCTGACCATACAAGGCCACATTATTCAGTGCTGGTCAGTAATAGGAGGGATCCAGGACAGGTTCGTTTATCATTTTCCAGTGATGTTAGTCGTGTTTCAAAATCGAACTCGGGTCACACGGTTCATAGCGCAGTGTGCCAACCACTGTACCACCGCTCCACCCCTCTATCACAATATAGCTGAGCTACTGTATGTTGAATGTCGAGTAGGTGAGATACAGGACATACGTGGGGTGGCAGGGAGGGCTTTACAAATGCTCAATAATGATTTCGTTTGAGAAATTAACAGCACACCACCCCCCACCTTCCCAGGAGGTCCATGCCACCCTTACTAACTGACCCAATGGAATGATTGTTCCAGAATATAGCAACTAACCCAAGCTAAACAGACTCTATGCATTACCCAGAATCTATGAATGACACAATGTCTGGGGACTAATGATTCAACTAGGTATGGTGCACATTTTTCCAGACAAGAATATAGGACATTCATGATATTGGTTGACATTGTTTTTCACGTCTGTTACGTAATGTAAGCCACGTTCATTTAAATATGTACTGTACGTTTGTGTGTTTTTGTCTACAAGCGAAGGGAGACATTTGAAAGAAATTCATTTGACCATGGTTTCACATTGATGAACAAGAAACCCATGGATACAAGCAGTTCGTGTTAACTGGGCCAGAATCATATTTAACCTGGTCATACTGCATAAGGTGCACCTACAAATTAGCACGGTTGGCTAGGTATGCTGCCAAAGAAGTTCAACATACATACAGTAGGCTTATAGACAACAACCTGAACAACGTTGGACAAGCCTTAATGTTGATTTAATTTTAGTCATTGCCCAAAGATCTGCAGATCTAGAATTGGGACTCCTCAGCCACCTCCAGAGCCACCACCACTAAACCTTGACGGATGTCACCCTCGAACTCCGAGGGACTGCCGACGACGGCATACACCGTGTATCCAATTACCATCTTTGGGGTTCATCAGCGCACCGCACTCTCTCTCTAATAATGAGACTGAAGCGTATCTTAGGTCTGCCTACTCATCGTGACCTGGTGAATTTCGTCTCGTCACTCCGTCACTCTTCCACGAGGTGCACGAGGTGGGGGAGTCAAGTCGTTTCGTCAGTCTCGACAATGTCTCCACTCAACATCCCCGAGTGTGATATGACAGCAACCATGTTAAGTTATTTCCCACTTACATCACGGATCCATTGAGGGATGTGGATTCTTGCGAAACGTCATGGTATAGAGGCAGGGCCGGATCACGGTCCCGTGAGGCCCCTGGGCACATATCTTTTGGAGGCCCCCCCTCCCCCCGCTTTCCTATATTGGTGTCTTTCTTGCCTTCCCCCTCGCCAAATTATCCACTAGATTGTCAAAATCTAGCTGTCTGACAAAGTCTGACTCCATTGACATAAGTGACAATGAGCTGAGACGTGTTTGGCAAATGCTACTCCGCAGCAATTTTTTTATTTTGCCTAAAAGGGAAAATGTCCGCTCACCCTGGCAGTTTGTTACTGGCAAAGTTAGAAACATCCCAAGTGCCACGAAAACATTGGGGAACACTGACAGCAGATCAAGTGCCTGCAACGTCTCAAGCAATTTAGTTGGGCACTTCTCACCCTCAAGAGCCAGACACGAAATACTTGTCTTCTTGGTTCTTTCGGTAAAGTCACATATAAGGGAAGTAATAAAATAATAAAAATAAAACATAATAAAATCAAATAATTCTCACGACGTTTCGGCTACAACGCAAGCAGCCGTCTTCAGGTGAAGAATGAGACACTGCCAAGCTAGGAGCTTATATATAAGCTGAGTTGGAGGTGGAAGAAGAAGAGAGCCTTAACAAAAGAATGTGCATATCAAGAGGAATTTAGCATATTCATGGGACATGCGTAGGAGGTGGGCGGGGGGGGTTTCAAAGTCATATTATGCCCATGCATTATGCAGGATCAGCAGCACCAAAGGGAGGGGGGGGTAGCATTAACAAAGGGAGGGCATGTTAATAGTATGTAGAAGCAATGAAACATGTGAATGGGAAAACGGTGGCAGGAGATCCGCAGCGGAGCAAATAATGCATTCCCTGTGGAGAACACAAGATACACAGTTAATGCCAGTGAGTGGACTGCGGTCTGAAAGTCACCATAAACGTGAACAACAATCAGTTAAGATCCGAAGTGGTTTATTACGTCCTTCCAATGATTGCTGAGCCAGAATCCATCTTCTCGGTTGAGAAGAGACAATTTCATTTTGCCTAAAAGGGAAAATGTCCGCTCACCCTGGCAGTTTGTTACTGGCAAAGTTAGAAACATCCCAAGTGCCACGAAAACATTGGGGAACACTGACAGCAGATCAAGTGCCTGCAACGTCTCAAGCAATTTAGTTGGGCACTTCTCACCCTCAAGAGCCAGACACGAAATACTTGTCTTCTTGGTTATTTCGGTAAAGTCACGAAGAAGGGAAGCTTAGCAGTGTTCATTAGGAGGCTGTTTATCCGACAGCTGTTCTTCACCTGAGGACGGCTGCCTGCGTTGTGGCCGAAACGTCGTGAGAATTTAATGTTTTATTTGTATTATTTCCCTTCTACTTAACTTTACCGAAAGAACCAAGAATACTGCTATTCTTGTTACACTGCTACTGCTGTTCCAGTGCTGTTGGTGTTACACTGTTACACTGTTGGTGTTACACTGTTGGTGTTACACTGTTACTGTTGGTGTTACACTGTTGGTGTTACACTGTTACTGTTGGTGTTACACTGTTGGTGTTACACTGTTACTGTTGGTGTTACACTGTTGGTGTTACACTGTTACTGTTGGTGTTACACTGTTACACTGTTGGTGTTACACTGTTACTGTTGGTGTTACACTGTTGGTGTTACACTGTTACTGTTGGTGTTACACTGTTACTGTTACACTGTTACTGTTGGTGTTACACTGTTGGTGTTACACTGTTACTGTTGGTGTTACACTGTTGGTGTTACACTGTTACTGTTGGTGTTACACTGTTACTGTTGTTACTCTTGTTATTCCACTGCTGTTGGTGTTACATTGCTACTGTTGTTACACTGCTGTTGGTGTCACACTGCTGTTGGTGTTACACTGCTATTGAAGGCGGTGCTGCGAGTTCATTGTGTTAAACACAGCACTACCTACAGCACTGCCTACGGGTTCTTTTAACGTTACACCGACACCCACCCCACGAGTTCAAGCCGTTCTGGCGGCGATCGTATGTAATTCCTGCACAGCTCTTTTACAATTACATCAAATTGCTGTGAAACGTGCGCAATAAATTCGGTGTTGCGATGTACACTCGGCCACTTCGCGATGTTAGACTTTACCCGAACAACAATTCTAAATCGAAGGACCACGCTTGCTTTAACCATAAAGGCAGAAACCCGCGGCGTCCATCTTACGTAGGTAACAATCCGCTACAACGACCCCCCCCCCCCCGCGACGTCATCGAGACGCGCACCGCCACCTCGGCACTTGCATCCAACAAAACGGCGGCGTTACTCTACCAAAATGGCCGCCACCGAACCGCATTGCGATGACGTCTCGCGGCCGGTTACCCCCCTCCCACCCTCCCTCCCAGTTGCGCCTCAACCCGCGGTAGGCCTTTACCCGCCCGTGGCGCCAAAAGCGAAGCCGGTGGTGGAGGCGGCTCCGCCGAACGAGAAGCCGCTGGTGCCCGTCGCCATGGCTCCAAAAAGGTGCCCGCTTCCTCGCTTCGAGACGTCCCGAGATGAAGGCCGCCCCGTCGAGTCAAACAAAATCGGCGCGAAAAAATGAAGCAACTCCCCGTCAACGTTTCCCTCGTGACTCAGAGCGGTTGTCTTCCGGAAGACGGTGGTTGTCTTCCGGAAGACGGTGGTTGTCTTCCGGAAGACGGTGGTTGTCTTCCGGAAGACGGTGGTTGTCTTCCGGAAGACGGTGGTTGTCTTCCGGAAGACGGTGATTGTCTTCCGGAAGACGGTGGTTGTCTTCCGGAAGACGGTGGTTGTCTTCCGGAAGACGGTGGTTGTCTTCCGGAAGACGGTGGTTGTCTTCCGGAAGACGGTGGTTGTCTTCCGGAAGACGGTGGTTGTCTTCCGGAAGACGGTGGTTGTCTTCCGGAAGACGGTGGTTGTCTTCCGGAAGACGGTGGTTGTCTTCCGGAAGACGGTGGATGTCTTCCGGAAGACGGTGGATGTCTTCCGGAAGACGGTGGATGTCTTCCGGAAGACGGTGGATGTCTTCCGGAAGACGGTGGATGTCTTAAAAAAAACACGACTGCCGTCTTCTGGAAGACGGTAGTTGTATGTCATCCAAATGTAGGTTCTACCTAGGACCTCGGTGATGGTTGAGGTCTTCTGGAAGACTGTCGATGTCTTCTGGAAGAAGGTTGATGAAATGCCTTCTGGGAATGGTAGAGGGCGCTACCGAGGGGATGGTAGTGGGGTTTTGGAAGTTTCATTTATTAGGTATAGCCCTGTGAGCCATTCGGCTCTTGAATCGGGTGCAACCGCAACAAACAAAAACATGAACAAGAAAACATCTTAAAGTGACTAGGCGCAAACAGTCTTCCAAAAAAAATCACCGTACACCAACGCTGTGCAAAAATCCCAGTGGGATGCAAGTCAAACAACAACAACAACCACAAGACAACTTAGATTAAAGCCATCATTCTAACTCCGTACTACAACAAACAAACATGGCCAAACCAAAAAAGTTTTCGAAATCACCAAAATAAAGCCGAATTAACACAGCCACTTCTGTGCCCTCGTCGAGGAGGCCGCTCTCCGTTCTTACAGTTACATGCTAATTTCTCACATTAACATCACTAGCCCCACCCACTTCTTTATGACCCTTGGGCTACACACATTTCAAACCTTTAAAAACAGTCTGCCTCAGCAGCAGCAGATCACACTTTCCCACCTGATGACGGATGCTTGTGTTGTGCCCGAAACGTCGTGATTTATTTGATACCTACGTGACTTTACCGAAAGAACCAAAGGGTATATAAGATGGTAGTTGTCTACTGGAAGATGGTGTCTATGTTGTGGGTTTCTGTGTTGTCTCTCTGCTTGTGTGTCTGTCTGTGTGTCTCCATGCCCAGCCACCGCAAGCCTAAACAGCTTTTGTTCGGCCGGATCGAGGGGGCTAAACGGGCGCGGCACGGGCTAGAGAAGAGATGGAGTGATGTGGTACAGGATGATGTGGAGCTGAGTGGACTTGCCGATGACCGGTACCAGCGGTGTCGGCCTCAGTGGAGGAGGCTCGTGAAGGACGCTACTGGGCAGTTGGAGGCAGTCGCCCTCCAACAACAACGGAGGACAGAGGAGCGACACTCACAACAACGAGCGGAGCTCTGGGTGGCTAAAGCACAGCAAGTTGGCACAGTAGGGGGCACAGGTGGTGCAACAGCCAGTCATCTCGGTCATCTCGGTCAGTCGACCCGTGGCACCTGCTGGGTCTTCCCCGTGACCTCCTGCCAGCTGGCATTCGACAATTCACGTGGCCTCAAGGTGCACTTGGCCTGGCACAAGCGTCGTGGTGACGTCACCACCACTTAGTGGCGAATGGCGGTTGTTGTTGTTGTGTCTCCATGTCTGTGTTTTGTCTCTCCCTAAAATTTAGTTTTACCTGATGATGATTGCTTGTGTTGCAATCGAAACGTCGCATTCTATTATTTCATTTATTATCTTTCTACGTGACTTTACCGAAAGAACCAAAGAGTAATTCCTGCAGTCACGAAAGCTTCAAATCAAGTTTGGAAGATGGTAGTTGTCTACTAAAAGACGGTAGATACCTACTGGAAAATGATAGCTAACTTCTGTTCGTTATTTTTAAACCCCTCCCCCGAGTAAAGAGAGCGATAAAAGTAATCGATGTCAGGTTGTTAATCGATTCATCGACTTCACCGTCCATAGACCCATACAGGCTGCAGCCATTGAGGGCTGACAGCTGCAATACCACAGCAATACCTAACCACAGTTGTGGACTGTACCTCAAAATTGACCTTTAAAAAATGTTAAACGAAACATGTTCGGTCAAAGAGAGTTTAACCGTTGTGTAAGTGTCCTTGGGGAAGATCATTTTAAGTTTTTAAACATGATCTGTGTTGTGTTGTACCCATTTGGTTGAATTAAGTAGGTGAGAACTCGAGAGACCAGGTTGAGTCTCATTCGCAAGAGTGGCCTGAGGCAAAAATGACAACAAAAAGTGAATCCGGTACAATAAATCAAAACACGGCGGCGAAGATGAAGATACATTTGAGCAGAACAGCCACGTTTTAGGATAAATTAAAATGACCGCATTTAACAAGTTGGCGACAATGCATGAATCACTTCGCCAACGCACATGCAGTCGCAAATTGGCACATTTATTGTTCACGTGACAACTTTATAAGCTGTGTCGGGTGGAGGAGTGTCAAACACGCATTTTTGTATGCAACACGATTACACAAATCTATATATTAATCAGCTGTGGAAGCTGTTTGACTCTTAATTCAAGCTGCTCATTGTGGGTTCGTAAATGACTGGCCCAGGACCCGTTCGGATATTGATTTTGCCAACTGACATTAGCCATGGCCGGGAGTCTGAGGGACAATCCCTTTAGTACGTACGCATGGAGGGGGGAGGGGGGGGGTAACCCAAATGTGTACGCTTGCGTATGGGGGGTCTACTGACAATGTAAATACGCATAGGAAACAGGGGTGCGGGGGGGGGGGGTGAAGCCTCAATAACACTAACATTTTTTTTTGTTCCTGGGTAGTGTTATTTCCTAATTGCGTATGCTTCAAAAGTACAGAAAATTGCTATTATTCCCCACAAACTTTGCTTTTGTGACCAGGTCAGTGATATTTTGAAATTTACCTATTTCCCAGAACATTCCAGATAGATACAGTGCTGAGTAAACTTGGAGTAACTTCTAGAACATTCTATAACTTTCCAGTAATCTAAATAGTAGTATACAGGAGCCTTAAGCCCACCAGTTCAGTTTAGTTTCAGCTGCCTAAGTGGATACATATCTGCATTTTTCTGTGATGGCATCAAGAGGCTGCAAGCATCCGGCAGACACATTTTGCTATGTTTGCGGCAAATTTATCAAGACAAGAGCGAAAAAGTACTCTGTGGAAGCATCTGCTAAGATGTGTGAGGTCTACAAGGCATATTTCAGCATGCCTGTTGGGGATCAAGACAAACCCTGGGCACCTCATTTCACCTGCGAGCAATGCAAAAAAACTCTGGAAGGTAAGATGGACAATTGTTGCTTCGAATTTTACGTTTTAAAATTTGTTAAAATAAAACAAATTGTAAAAGTTTTGTATTTTAAAATGTTTTACAGTTTTGAATGTTATTGAAAAAATATATCATTTCTGAAAAATGTTGCGATAATCTCTTACACATTAGTCATGGGTGAAATGAATGTATTTTTATAGGATGGTACAAAGGGGAAAAGAGAGCCATGAAGTTCGCTATCCCAAGAATGTTCTGGGAACCCACTGACCACCTAAGCAACTGCTACTTCTGCATGGTGGACCCTTCCAAACATCGGACTGGCAAAAATGCACCTGCTATCATGTATCCGGACCTTCCTTCATCCATCGCCCCAGTGCCACACTACCATGAGCTCCCCATACCCACTCCTCCGGAGAGAGAGCAGCCATCTTTAGAAGAGAGCAGCAAGTCAGAGAGCGAGGAAGATGTTGTAGATCCAGATAACAAATTCAGAGATGGAGCTGAGGAGAGAAACCCATACTACCCCAACCAAAAATACCTCAACGACTTGATCAGAGATCTTGGTCTTACCAAATCCAATGCCAAGCTTTTGACGTCGAGGCTCAAGCAGTGGAACTTGTTGGATGAAAGTGTGCAAGTCGCAGATTAGAGGAAGCATCACCAACCTTTTTTCAGCTTCTTCATCCCTCAAGATGGGCTCTCCTTCTGCCACAATGTGACCAGTCTGTTTTGAGGCAATCGGAATCGCCTGTAACCAGAATGAGTGGCGCCTATTCATTGACAGCTCATCCAGGAGCCTCAAAGCTGCGCTGCTCCATAATGGTAACAATTACCCGTCTTTTCCCCTGGCTCACTCGGTGCACCTCAAAGAGGATTACAATAACATCAAGACATTGCTGGACACCTTGAAGTATGATGAGTACAACTGAGAGGTCATCGGAGACTTCAAAATAGCAGGGAACCAAGTTCCCCTGCTATCTTTGCATTTGGGATAGCAGGGACACCAAGGCGCACTACCACAGGCGGGACTGGCCAGAGCGGAACAAGTTATCTGTGGGGAGGAACAACGTCAAGTGGGAGCCACTGGTGGACCGCTGAAAGGTACTGATCTCACCACAGCACATCAAATTTGGCCTTATGAAACAATTTGTCAAAGCTGTAGATAAGGAGTTGGCAGCCTTCAAGTACCTTCAAGACTTCCCTAAGCTGTCTGAGGCAAAGGTCAAAGCCGGTGACTTCATCGGACCACAGATAAAGAAGATCCTGGAGTGCAATGAATTCCACAAGAAGCTCATTAGTAAGGAGAAAGTGGCTTGGAACAGCTTTGTCGCAGTGGGTCGTGGCTTGCTGGGCAATCACAAGGTCGAAAAATATGTGGAGCTGGTTGAGACTCTGGTGAAGTGCTACGGCACAATGTGCTGTAGGATGTTCCTCAAAGTCCATATCCTTGATGCTCATCTTGATAAATTCAAGGAGAACATAGGAGCGTACTCGGAGGAGCAAGGCGAGCAATTCCACCAAGATATACTGGACTTTAAACGCCGCTACCAAGGACAGTATAACGAGAACATGATTGGAGACTACATTTGGGGGCTGATTCGTGAAAGTGATTTAGAGTATAATTGTAAATCTCG